AATGTAGCGTGGTGGTGACGCAACTTGTTGCTTACAGCTGGGTGAGAGCCTCCCATGCTTCGCTGACTTGCTGCCAAATGTCGGTCTTGCTCCCAGCTCCATGTTCTGATGAGCCCATGGTAGCCGCACAGGTCTTCAGTCTACCTCTTTCATGTACATGGCTTGTTCTCGGCAAGACCTGGGTGGCTCTCTACCTGATCTACGCTGGCTCGAGCAAATCTGTTCCCCGACTCGGAGTTGCATATGCTGGAGCATTAATCGCTGCGCACTGGAACGAACTCCGAGCAGCGGCCTTTCCTGACGCCCAGTGCACTTCCAGGCAGGAGAGACACCGCCTCATCAACAGGATACCCTCTTAGCTCTTTGATTCAATGTTTCTCATTTACAATTGTGCTGAGCACTCTCTTTGACCTATCTCTCTTCTTCTTGTTGCCCCTGGCGAAGGCAGGCACCCTCCTCACCGTCGTCGCCCCGCATGTTCTGGCGCGGACCGGCGCTAACGTGTATAGGTTTTTGGCTCAGGCATGCTTAGGCTCATCTAGGCTAGGTGTGACAATTCGGCTCTGGACAACTTTGGCAACCCCCTGGCTGGCAATTTTTGTCTGGAATCCCCGTATATGCCAGCACGAGCCAGAACGGCTTTCTTCTGCTTCCAGGCACAGCGTGCCCTAGAACATCAAGCCCGCGCACAATGCCGTGCCGGCCATTGAGGAGGGGTAATACTGCTGTGATGTTACCGTCCCCCCTGTGCAGACTCGGATCTGTTTGTCTGTCTGTCTGTCTCTTTCTCTTTTTCGCCATCTTTTCCTGTTGGGCTTAGTCTGGCGATAAACCGAAGGCCTTAGGCGTCTCCGTCAGCCCGCCGCACACGCAGCCGAAAGGGCATCGGAGTTCGGGATAAAGGCTTAGTGCCGCAGGCGGGGCTTTGAGGTGCCGATGAAGACCTGATGTTGCGAACCCCCGCCTTGAAACTCCGGTCTCCTGCCTCGTACCACAAACACGACAACAAAACAACGAATTGGCGAAAGGAGAGGAGGATGAAGCGCAGCAAGCGATGTGTTGCAAAACGGTCCATTACTGTACGGGGCTTTCAGCTCTAGCGCAACAACACATGCACAGAGGTTGTAGCCCTATCACGTTTATCATTGACAGCTCTCGTCAGATCCCTCGTCTGTACTTCTGCTCATGTTTGTAACGTGGTAGTGTCTCGGAGTTGGCGTCGAGTTTTGAGACGGCTAGCAATGGCTCAAAGAGACTACTCTTCATGCTACTGCGGAGAAGTGTTGGGGGTCGGCTATGATTGCACCAACGCCCCAAACACACTTGTTGAGACGGTTGAGACTTCCTTCTCGCTTCTTTTTCTTCCTCTTACCGGCTCTGGTAAGTGAGAGCACCTACTAGTTCGCACACCCGCAGAGACGCATGTCCGACAACACTTTCCCAGGTGGCATACCTGTTCTACCAATTTCATATTGGGAAACAGCTGGCCAGATGCAACATGTTGCATAGTCCCCGATGGGCTCGGCTTCCCGGTGTGTGTGTGTGTGGGCGATCACTCGCGCCGCTGATGCAAAGGGGAGCGACAGGCCACAGACCTCATCCAGGAACTTGACCACCGCTACGCCGCCCCGAACGTTGTGAGTTTCCCTCTGGCAAGCTGCATTCCAGGAGGATTCCGCGCACAGGCCGGGGTGGAACTGCTGGGCTCTCCGGTAGCCCCGTAGATCGGACACAGTGTACCGACAAACTGTGCATCACAACTTGATGTCCGCTCACTCAAAAGCTGTCGCTCAAACGAAACACGAAGGGAAGGGATGCTCTTAGTCTTTGCATTCCAAGGGAACTCCACTACGGCCACGGCTACCCGCGGCCAAGGCCAAGGAATGGCTTGGCGGCTCCGCTTTTGCTCAGCTCCAGCAGAGGCGAGCTGGTCTCGAGCTGCTCTCGTGTTTCCACACGCTTACAAGTACTAACTTTCTCATACTCTCTCTTCTTCCTTTCTGCCGAGCCTGCTTACTCTTTCTTTCTTTCGCCAGGGCTGTGGTGGGGGAGTTGCCGCGCTAAATTTGCACTCCTCCTCTCCCTCTCCCTCTCCTCCCTTTGCTTTGCTTTGCTCCCTCCCCCCCCCGCTCTCTCTCTCTCTCTCTCTCTCTCTCTCGACTTTCTTCTTCCATCAAATCCTTTCTCGGACGATTTGGGCCTGAGATGACTGGCGTTGCGTACGAAGCTATGCAAAGTCCGAGCTCCCTGCCGCTTTGAAAACGCGTGCATGCCCCGCCCGGCTTCATCCAGGTCCGACCGAAGTACTCAGGCCTGCGTGTACGAAGCGTCAACATGTCTGACAGCGCAATCGGAAGGCAGGACGACTGCTGTCACTGCGCAGAATGCACCCTGCATTTATAACCTGACTCTTGCGTCCATATCGTCCGGAAACAGCTGGCCAGATGCAACATGTTGCATAGTCCCCGATGGGCTCGGCTTCCCGGTGTGTGTGTGTGTGTGTGGGCGATCACTCGCGTCGCTGATGCAAAGGGGAGCGACAGGCCACAGACCTCATCCAGGAACTTGACCACCGCTACGCCGCCCCGAACGTTGTGAGTTTCCCTCTGGCAAGCTGCATTCCAGGAGGATTCCGCGCACAGGCCGGGGTGGAACTGCTGGGCTCTCCGGTAGCCCCGTAGATCGGACACAGTGTACCGACAAACTGTGCATCACAACTTGATGTCCGCTCACTCAAAAGCTGTCGCTCAAACGAAACACGAAGGGAAGGGATGCTCTTAGTCTTTGCATTCCAAGGGAACTCCACTACGGCCACGGCTACCCGCGGCCAAGGCCAAGGAATGGCTTGGCGGCTCCGCTTTTGCTCAGCTCCAGCAGAGGCGAGCTGGTCTCGAGCTGCTCTCGTGTTTCCACACGCTTACAAGTACTAACTTTCTCATACTCTCTCTTCTTCCTTTCTGCCGAGCCTGCTTACTCTTTCTTTCTTTCGCCAGGGCTGTGGTGGGGGAGTTGCCGCGCTAAATTTGCACTCCTCCTCTCCCTCTCCCTCTCCTCCCTTTGCTTTGCTTTGCTCCCTCCCCCCCCCCGCTCTCTCTCTCTCTCTCTCGACTTTCTTCTTCCATCAAATCCTTTCTCGGACGATTTGGGCCTGAGATGACTGGCATTGCGTGCGAAGCTATGCAAAGTCCGAGCTCCCTGCCGGATTGAAAACGCGTGCACGCCCCGCCCGGCTTCATCCAGGTCCGACCGAAGTACTCAGGCCTGCGTGTACGAAGCGTCAACATGTCTGACAGCGCAATCGGAAGGCAGGACGACTGCTGTCACTGCGCAGAATGCACCCTGCATTTATAACCTGACTCTTGCGTCCATATCGTCCATAATATGAGATGGTTGGAAGAGTTGGTAGGCCTGAAGTTGGGGAGAGGCCTTGTGTACAATGTGCGAAACCTCTGGATTCCAGCTGTTGGTAGCCACGAAAAAAACATCTTGTAGGCGACTTGATGGATTCGGAATCCACGGAACATCGCCAAATCTCCGGCGATCGACATCCGGATTCGACGCTGGGTGACTCAGGCCCTGTTCATTGCTTCCCTCTCCGAATACCCACCCAAGGCGAGTCGTATCCGAACCGGTATCCGAACCATCAAAGTCCGTATCATATGCGAAGCTGCAGTTCTGTTGCTCAGAATCAGTTGTGTACATGCATGATCGTATTGAACCCCATACATTAAACGGCGAATGCTGGGTCGTTCGAAACTACAGGCGAGGAGCGTGCACAACTTCGTATCCAAGGTCGCATCGGATTGAAGCCCCTTCTTGCCTGGATGCAAACTGACCGACCTCGCAACTTCGGTGCGACTGTGCGGATGGCTGTTGGACTCAAATCTTCTGTCCGCTTACGTACCCTGCAATGCGGCTCGACCTAATGTCACACTGCACTGACCGAGTCGACACACACTTCAAGCAAAAGAGTCAAATTGGTTGGGTCGTGCTTAGCAGTGCAAGTTTTCTGGACTTTCAAGTGTGCAGTTGCGGAGGGTGGGGGAAGTGCAGTTGTTCAACGAGGCACGTGCCGCTGTATAGCACCATCATCACAAATTAAGCTTTTTGTGCGCGACGGCTCCCTCCACTTGTCGGAATCGGGGGAGGTGGCTCCGAGGCAACAGTGCTTTGCACAGTGCCAAATCCGAATTGATGTGCTGCTTTGTCTTGTCTTTGGCTGAGAAAACGCGGCGCCGATTCGGGCACGAGACAAAGGCCGGCAGAGGGCCGAACAAGTAAACAAGACCCAATGCTCTAATTGCACTGGTTTGCTTTGCCAAACACCAGCTGCTGGGGTTGCCCACGAACCCCCACTAAATTTGCTTACCAAACCTCTGTTCCGGATCCATTACAAGTACCGAGAATCGTCCGAAAATCCCCAAGTGCTGCGAGCGATACATATCCCCTTCCAAGGCTTCCAAGATGTGGTGTTGCTGTTCAACTTCGCTCTCTGATGATTGTAGGGACTACCACGACCAGTGATTGCCATCAGGGTTTCACCAGCATAACTCTGCCTGCTACGCTTCTCATGATTAGTTGCTTCCCTCCCATCATTTTGCCACACAGCAACCACCAACAACCTTAGCCAAGACTACAGTGAACCCTAAAGCGGGGAGCGATTACACAAGCCAGCTGGCATGGCTTTGTGCAAAAAATTGCACTCCGGAAAACCACATGGCTGGCTTAGCCAAGTCTGTGGCTCAAGGAGACTTGAGGCAGCCGCAGCTACAGAGACTAACAAATTGGAAGAGTTCGACGGTTTCAGGAAGCATGTCGGCCAAATGTGTGAATAAGCGAATCAAAAACGATTGCTTGGTTGAATGGGGTTAACTCTGTCTCTTATGCTTGTTTGCAGGTGCCGAATGTGACCGATAAAGGGTGTTGCTGCTTGCACAGCCCTGACTGAGAAGGTATTCCGACTTGAAGCAGCCTTGCTGAATTAAGAGCTGTACAGCTTGCTACGAAGAAAATGTGGCCAGAATAGGCAGTGGCTCATCAATTTCGATTCGTGGTTCCAGGGTGCTGAGCGCAAAGTCGGTAAAGGTTACCTGAGCTTCTTGCGAGTGTGTGTGTGTGTGTTTGTGTGTCAATCTAGTACAAGAAGCCGTCCTAGGACGAGCGTAAACAGGAGTCGAAGTAGTCGTCGTGACACTCGTCGTAGTCGTCGTCATGGCAGCAGCAGGAACAGCGGCAGCCACAATCCGTGTCCGTGTAATCATGCTTGAAAGTGGTGCAGTCGTCGTCGTTGTACAGTACTGGTCGCGGTGGTGGTGGTGGTGGTGGTGACGCTAGCGGCTGCGCCAGAAGTCGCAGCAGGAGTTAAAGGTGCCGGTGGTTGTGGTGGTAGCAGTGGCGGTGCTGGGCTTGCAGTGCTATTATTGTCGTAGTTGTCGTCGTTGCTGTCCCCCTCTCGATTCTCGTCGCCATCGTCGCCGGTACTGTTGATTTTGGGTGCATGACGTCTCTCATTCCTGCTTTCTGTTGCGGTTCCAGTATTCGCCTCGACTCATTCTCGATCAAATTGATGGCCGAGAAACAGTGCTCGCACAGGTGCTGTTGGCATCCTGGGCCCAGTCCGAGATTTCGATCAAAATCATGCCAAAACAGAAACACTGCTTTGTGCAAGGCAGGTGGCCATGTCTTCTGTGCAGTAGTCAACCTGAGGCTCGGTTGTGCGGCACATGCAGTATGCAGTGTCTTACTGTGCCCAACGTTGTGCTGTATCCAAATTCTGTGACACTGAAAGGTAGATACCTCCCTTCAGTGAAGAAGTCGCGCCCGAAAAAAGGCCTCGTCCGGTCCGTTGCCATCCAGCCACATCATGTTTGCGTCCCGCCAATAACCTTGGATTCTTGCAAAAGGCTTCTGCATCACGAGCTACAGTCTCAAAGCAATGAAAGAGCTTGTTGCTTTGCTTTCAATTGACCAAACAACCCCCAAGCAATGGTAAACCTACTTGGCATGCATCCCACCAGGCCCCAAAGGCGTCAGAGCCGCTCATGACAGGGGTCATGCCCTTTTTCAAGACTTTGCTCAGGACTTCTAGTGAATCCTGTCAGACAGTGGTTGCTGCAAAGATTCAGGCATCACAAGACGGGATCTTCACAGAATGACGCAGATTGCACCCCTCTGACACTGTGTCACTGTGGCTTCGCGAAGGCTACTCTGCATTAACAACGTGTCCTTGAACTTCGACGCAGATGACCGCACGCTGCAGCCATTCTGCGACAGGGTGATGTCCTCAAGGCGCAAGAGGCGACGTTGAGCGAACATTGGATGCACTGCCCTGTGCTGGTCGAGGACGCGAGGACGGACCATTCAGAGCCAGGCTGCAATGCTCTTGAGCTCCTCGGTGCCTTCCTGGTACAGCGAGACTGAGTAGAGAAGGTGCATGATGGAACAAGATGATCCTTCTTCTCTTGCGAGATACAGCATTGAATCTAACCTCTTCAGAAGCGTGGAAACATGTGGAAACGCTCACGCAACCTCTCGCGGCCCCATGCAAACTGAGCGTTTTCAGGCTTGTCAGGCATCCTGTCATGCATGGCATCGTAGGGCACATTGGCACATCATGGCGGCGTCGCTCGTGTGTACAGGAGATGACGTGGCAGGTCACCATTCTGTTGTCAACTTGAGCGGTTCTAAGGCCTGTTGTCCTGATCTTGCAGGCAAGCATCATGCACAGGAAACTCCACCGATACCCGGAACTTCTCCCTCGTGTCGATGCAGCTGCTGCCCTCTCCATACCTCAGTCGTGATGGTTCGCAGGCGATTCATGGCGATTCGGTGAAAGGGCTCCTGGGATGCTGAAAATAAGAGAGAACTGAAGCTGCAGAAGGACGTATTGCAAGTTGTGACTGGTGGCTGTGTCGATCCGAAGTCTCGAGGCCCAGTAAAGGTGTCGCCGCCTCGGCCGACATAGCAAGAGCAGGCAACAGTCAACTGGGCTGGAATCTAAAGCAACCGCTAGCACTGAAGCGTTGAATTAGCCAACTGCAATCACAAGGTAAGGGAGCAGAACGCTTCAATTTTGAACAGCTGTTCCTTCTGCCGCCGCTCATCAAAGACCACTGAAGCAACTAGCACTCTTAGTCGGCTTGCCTGGATACGAAGCTGCACACCCTCAAGATATTTTGAAGCCCGAAACGTCCTTACGACGGCAAATCCTGCAGCAACATTGTGCCGTTCTTGGCAAGTGCAAACCGAATTGAAGCGATCAATTGTTAAGCAACCTGTTTGCAAGGATTCTGACCAAATCAAGCAGGAAGGTAAAAGAACTTCATCCCAAATGGCCTCCACCAGTTCCAAGGCTGGGAGCCTGAAAAGACTCTCTCGAGCCGCATGACTGTGCACTATAGGGGATCGCCGACCGATCTATGCCTCCGGCCTGACGAGGAACCCGAGTTCCGCAATTTTGACTGATTGGGCAGAGCTGTCTGTTGACGTTTGCACCAACGCAGGACGGACGAATCAAGCGGCGGTTCAGGTCTGTTCCCGCATGACTCACGCATTATAAGGCGGCACAATTGGGACACGTTGGTCACTTCCTGCAACTGAACGAGTTTCCATGACAAACTCTGCGAGTAAGGGCAACTGAAGCAATGTAGCTATGGCATAAGTGGAGGAAGAAGGTCTGCTCCGTCTCAGCGAACGATTTTTAACTGCTACTAAGCACTCGAATCTGTCAAAGTCATACCGTATATTTGACACAGACACTACCGGAAACGGACACAGCAAATGATATCAAAGCACAGGCAGCAGTTCAAACATAATCGAAGAAGGGCGCACAAGCCATATTCAAAGCACTAGCGAAGACCAATACTTCTACTTGCTGGTCTTTGTCGTGCTGCTTTTCGAAGTGGGTGGCTCCATCAGGGACATTCGGGGGCAAGCTTCGGGACAAAGTGATCATCAAAACGAGCCCGACGGCTTCTTGAGCAGGCTACCAGCCCCAAGTACCAAGTTACTACAGCACATTGCCAAAAATGAGCTATCCTTGCTGATAAGACATATAACACAATATCGGAAGCCCCAATCCCTAACCCCTGCGGTCCCTCTCCGACTCCAGGTCGTGGAATGTGGAATGGAATGCACGCATGTTCCTGAGTTCAGCTTACAGACTTACATCAATCAATAGCACGTCAGTCACTGATGCAAGCTCCTGCGCCGATGTTACAATGATACTCGATTGAGCGCTGCGTCGCTTCTTGCAGGTCGATCTCATGACATTGCACTCCACATATGCTCATCGCATCACAGTAGTAGTCCTAGTTCCAGGTCACACTGCTACGGGTACAGCACTCATGCTCGAGTAACAAGTCACAGCAAGCACATGAACCAGGGCAAAAGCATTCCGGTGCCTCACAAGTTGACTGCCAAGGACTTCTAGACATGGAGACCAAATAGAGAGCCGCATTACCTTCGTTGACAGAACACGTGCCAACCAGATCCGAGGTTTTTACAAAACAAAAGCTCAATTGTGAAGCAACTCTTTATGGCACAACCCAAGAAGCAGCCACATTGGACGCCATCGATGTGAGTTGTATACTCGAGTCTCTTCCCCAAGAGATGCAGTTCGACGTAACCAGATGGATCGAAGTTTTCTTCGTGGCCTGACCATCGGCTTGAAAAGTGTCTTCGCATAGATCGCACTCCAGTAATATTACGACTAAACTCGGGCGCTGGCCTGAGGTATTGCAGGAAGTTCCCCAGTAAGTTCGGCCTTTGTCAGCGATGACCACTGCCGCGTCCTCATGCTGCCACAAGGCAGACAAGGCAAGAAACAGGAGGGGTGTGGAGTGGAGACTTGAGACCTCAGAGACTTCTCTCCTCCATCCAGACGTTGCCCGCCGGGTCACCTTGGAAGGACATGGCTTCGATGACACATGGTCGTCTGGGCACAGCCCCGCGTAGACATTCCATCAAATGCCTGTGGAACTTGTTCGGTGCCTAACCATACCCAGCGATTTCTTCGATCCCCCAATTTGTGCGTGATTGCTCACCTGCGGGCTATCGCCGGACAGCAGGCTGTCTAGATGCGGCGATAATCTCAAACTGATTCAACCTGAACCTATCTCGTCATTGCATTGCCGATACATGTCTATGATGTGGCCTAGGGAGGACACAACAAATCCCACAAATTCCGAGGCGCTTGGAAGGTTGTATTTCGCGTTGATCAACGGAACGGTGCCCAGGCCACTCACCTGCACATGTCACAACAAACCCGGTCTCACAAGGCGCAAAGATGTTCAAGAGGTCTAGTCGATGTTCTGGCGGCGCTCATGACGGACCTCTAAGAACAACCTGAGAGCTGCAGAAAGCCGTGCCACCAGCCTGAATGCTTCCAGCACAAGGGTTTGACCACAATGGCTCTGGCCACCTGGTTCTGCAACAGCTGAGCACGGCCGGCCGAAACTAGTGGAAAGATGTTTTGCACTGATGCGGGCTCGGCGCAGCGCTAGTCTTGCTTCGGCTCTGCCACGCCCAGAGCTTCTCATGTTGCCCATCACGACCCCCATCAGGATGCAGAGACCGAGCAAAGCGACGCTCATCACCAGGGCATGGAGCCAGGACCAACGCAGTGCGTTGGTCCCAGCTTTCCCAGCTTTTCTTTCTCTGCTGGTCGACTCTTCGAGCTCGTCCTCCTGTGGCAGCACTTCTAGCAATGCGACATGTGGCTCCAGTCTAGATTCTAGATGCTGCCGAAGATTCTGCCCTGACGAAAAAACTTGTCACTGCTGTCAAATGCCGTCAACGCGGCCTCCATCAATGTCAGCAGCTCAGCCAAGTCATCTTCAGCGGCCGATGATGCGCAGGCTTCCTGCAATGAGCAGAAGCACCCTTCGGTATTGCTTTGCGCCGCAGCGTTTATCATCGATGTGGGATGAGCTCGACACTGATCCACCGATGATTTGACAGGAGGGAGGGGAGGGGAGGGGAAGGGGGGCACCTTTCCCTTGCAAGTTGAAGCTCGAGCTGCCACAAGGAACGCACGTCACAGGACAAGCGGCAGCTGCAGTACGTAGGCAGGCTCAGGTGGCGAGCGATCCCGCGGTTTGGAGGTACATTATAGGATTTGCTTGCTTTTCGAATCAACTCTGGCATGACTGTAATTGAAACTTTTAACGCATTCGACACACGGGCTCGTCGTACACTCAACCGCGTACTTGGGAACACAGCGGCATCCCTTTCCAAGCGCAGCCCGTTGTCCTGGTATTCCTGGTGCTGGCACGGCATAAGGAACCCCGTTGCTTGGCGGGGCTCTACTGGGTGCCTGAGCCCTGCACACTGCAGTGCACGACACGAGTATCCATGAGCCTGCTCATCTACACAACACTGCACAGATGCCCAGCTGTGATGAAGCTCCCAGGCGATGCGACCCAAGCACTTTACCTTGCGTATGCGTTCCGGCAAACTTAGGTAGGCGATTGCAGGATTTGAGAGTCCGGCTACTGCATCACCAATTCTCGAGACACGCTGCGAGCTGCACTGCCTGCGCACGTTGAGAAGGAGCCAGAGAGCCAGTGGGACTCAGGCTTATTGGCTACGGTGCACACGGCTGTTGCTTCCGGTGCAGTAGGGCAGCAATAGGAGCAGTACTCGCACACAGCGCTCTACGGAAGTTTCCTTCCTCGGCCTCCAGCAGCAGTAGTAGTAGTAGTAGTAGTAGTAGTAGTAGTAGTAGGGGACCACCTTTGCATACCTTTTCATCCCGACCTATCAGACTTAATCAAAGTCCCAGAATGTCTTCCTTACCCTGTTGGTTCTTGCTTACGTACAGCTCCCGCAAGCTCCTGAAGAGCTGGCTTGCGTGATGAGCACCAGCACCAGCACTGGCACTGCTAGCCAAGCACGTGGAGGCAGAGGGAGGAAACCTTCGTAGAGCATAATGTGCACTGACCTGCTGGCAGAGCGTGGATTCCCTGCAACAACCAGTGGTGCGGCACCCAAAGCACATCGGGACGGTGAAGTGCCGTGGCTTCGACAACTACCGTCTTATTTCCGCTTCGCAAACAAACGAAGGAAGCATGGCAACCTCCTGCCACAAATCCAGTGTTGCTCCTGCAGAGTTTCAACAGATTTGCTTACCAAAGCCTTTGTTACTTAGCAATAGTCGCAGTAGTAACAGACTGGAGGGGGCCTTAGGGGGCACCGCAAATATTCCTGCGGCTGCCTTCTGCCTGAAAGATCAGGCCGCAAAGGGGTAAGGAGGGAACCCGCCTCACTGCTACATGCCGAGACACCTCGATCTATAAGACCTTGAGGCCCTTTGTTTCAATTAAGGCCCCTAGAATGTGTTGTTAACCGGTTCTTGTCTTTCTTTCCGTCAGCCATTGTGAGTGAACGGGCACATACAAGGGCCTCCTACGGTTCGAGACCATGCAGCCACTGACATGACGATACTCCGCGATGTCGACATCGTCTCTGTGAAAGACTGCATTGGCCGATCAGTTCAGAACCCTTAATATCATGACATGCCAATGCTGCAGGTGGCATCCTATAATCAGTGCACTGAACAGGAACTGGGACATTGAGCCTTTCCCTCTCAAGGTGCAGTGCCGGTGAGTCCTAGACACAGTAGACTCGTGGTAGCAAACTTCCAGTGTCAACAATTCGCTAAGGCTTCTGAGAAGCTGCTGCCACAGAAGTGCATATCCATTACTCTCGGCTCGCAATGGTGATCATTGTCACCCACATGTGCGAGCTAATCAGCATCAATGCATTTACACTTAAACTGAACATCGACATGCAATCTTTAACTTTAACATGTGCAGTTGACGCGCCTGACGGCCGACCGCAGGGTCCACAGGCAGTCAGACTACACAAGCGATACATCAATGCCCACCAGCGTGCTTGATCCAAAACTTGCTCACATCTGAAAATGTTCGGCGTGGCTCTATGTACATTTGTGCAACCAATCCTTTCGCAACACATGGGGCATCTGCAACTAGACATCTGCCCAAGAACCAGAAACTTCCTGTCGACGCAGCTCAACCGCATTGCACGGGCAGTTGTTTTCGTTGCATGTACTAGAGACTCTACGGTAATGGAAATGGCCCTGCCAGGCGAAATGCTGCCTGGTCAGGACTCCGGTCCGGTGGCGAGCCTGGCATCAGATCCAACCGGGGAGACAAGTGTGTTCACAGGCTCACAAAGCAAAAAAGCTATCACTGAAGCTTCTCCTCTTTGCTCGCATGTAACTACCTGCTGTGCCGTCACTTGCACGGCTTATGTTGCCATGGCCATGGTGCGTCCTCCCCATTACCTGATGACTCTGTGCCGAACTTGTTGAAACGTGCTGCAGCACAAAGGCTCCAGGCCTTGTCTCTAGGAGTCTAGCTGCCGGAATGAGAAAGCCTCACAAACGCATGGCATGTCGGATCTGCAGTTCAAGTCTGAGGATGTTAGCGTGCTTGTGCCGACTTCGTCATGCATGAGCTTCAATCGGAGTCGAAGTAGCATACTGGTGACAACTGCCCGAGAGTGCAAAGTTAGCAAGTGCAGGTAATGTATGGGCAAGCAGCGCTGCCACTGCCGGAAGGTGGAACCAACCGAAAGTCCTCGCAGTCATGGTGCGAAGCTGGGCCGTCTTACCAAGGTCTGCAACAGCAACTTAGAGCTGCACATTTCCCCGAAAGCACTTCAGCATCAGCCACGGCAAGGAAACTCGGGACCCTATTATGGAGCCATGCAGCCTTCGACGTATGGAACCAGCTTGAGACTTTTCCGCTCAGGCCGAGCGCAAAGGCTAGTTCGCGGTTCTCAACGGACAACTCTTGTGGCCCGTGGAGCGCACCTCGTAGCAACTCGTTAAACAGCAAGAGAAAGGTGGATTGCTACCTTGAAATCACATGTTTCTTGAGGAAGACAGAGCAATTACTACCATTGGGAGGTGTGTGGAATGGGAAGTGGACGGATGGGGCGCTTGCCGCTTGATCATCGCATACGTATACAGTTCTGACATGTTTTGACTGATCACTTGCGCAGTTAACTGGTCGGCTACGTCGATTGTTTGTCCACTCTGATGTGCTCTGTACTTATCAACCTCTTTGTCCCCGTAGTGACCTAGCAGTTTCGCACAGGGTTTCTCGGGAGCAATATACACACACAAAGACCCGCGAAGCACTGACCTTTCTTCGGACACCTAACGCAGGATGCACCATTGCAGTAGCAGTCGATGTAAAGGGTGGTGGTAGTGGTTCTGGTAGTCAGTTCAGAGTTGTAATAGTAGTAGTAGTAGTAGTAGTAGTAGTAGTAGTAGTAGTAGTAGTTGTAGTAATAGTAGTAGGAGTAGTGTTCTTGTGATGAAAGGAGCTTGCCCAGCAGACAAGACACAAGAGTGAGGGAGATAAACGTGTGTAAGAACAACTGCGCGCCCGAAAATAGAGCCTCATGCTCTAGCTCGAAGAGCTTCTCGCCAGATTCCAAATCCTCAGAGATTCAGCTCGACGCTGCTGAAAAACAAATGCATCCACAAGAGTCGCATTTTGCGAAAGTTGCATCAAGCTGCCAGGATGTCTTTGAAGCGGAAGCAGTTGTATTTCCGTGCCTGAAAAAGCCCAAGTGACTCAAAGAGCCTCACGGGTGCTGAGCGCCGCACCTCGTCGAGGTTCGTGGACTTGTCGAGATGTACAAACCGAGGATTCACCCAAATAAGACCTTCAACACATAGACGGTTCAGCTTGCAAGCCCAACCCCCATGTCCTAGTTCTGGACGGCATTGCAAGACATTCCTTTCCAATGTTTTCCAACGGCCTCGCTGGCGCAAGCGCTCGAAACACGCATCGAAATCTTGTATGTAGATGGCCAGGTGCTCCCCCAGCCTGAACATCATGTGAGCACATGTGAACAACAGTTCTGCTGGCATGGTCCAGCAAAGCGCACTGCGACAACCGAAACTCCGCATGGCTGCCGCGTGGCTCTTGTCCGCTGCAGCCGGCGTGTTCCTAGAGAAGCGGAGGTCACCGAGTCACCAAGCTATTTGACGGCTTGGGGTCTCCCAAGCCTCCAAGCGCAAGCGCTGAGCCGAGTGGGGGCCGCCCAAGAGCGCCCAGGCACCGGGCTCTCTTGTCATGGAGAAGCCCAGAAGCTGACCAGGGAAAGCCAACCAGGTCTAGATGTCAAGTCTGAAAGATAACGCACCTCAGCATAAAACTTGGCTCCACGTTCCGCCGTGCCGGGAGGTACCTGCGGCGACCCAGGAGTCAGCGGCAAAGTCTTGCAACTCCAGTTATTCAGGCCTGCAAGGTCACGGAGCCGATGCCAAGGACCTTTAATTTCTCACAAAGTACTGAGCACAACATAGCTTCCGCACCGTCTTGGCACCCCGTGTGCCTTGCAGTCCTCTGCGCCTGGCCGGATTCCAACAGTCAGGGCCGCAGCCGCCGCATTCGAGGCAATGCGCAGGGCAAACTTGTTGCCGTATGCGTCGGTTGCCCACAGCTCCTGCACCGTGTCGGTAGCACTCTCGACAGTTGAGCCAGTCACTGCGCTGGTCTTGCCAGGCAACAACCTTCGCTTTCCTGTTGCTCTTCATTCCAATCACCGACGGCCAAGCTCGTTCCTTGAAACTCGGCCTCGATGGAAATTCGGCTATGCATGCTTCAACAATTGCAGAATCAAGTTTGGTGCCTTTTGACGTAGTTGCGCGACGCGCGTGGCCGCTGCTTGAAGTGACTCGAGGCTGTCGTACAACAACCTGTGTTGACGAGGAACCGAAACAGGCATGAAGAGGCTAGGAATGTCTGGCCAAGTTGCTCCACGTGACCACGCCAAGTCTGAGCACCATCGCCTTCAATGCAGACAATTTGCTACCAGTAGGAGTGCTTTGAATGTAACGTAGCAAGGGGCGCTCGATCTTCGTGGCCTGCGATGTAGGCTTCATTGTCCGGCGACGGTGTGTGAAACTGCGTCAAAGAGCCGCAGTTACCTGTCGCGGGCAGGGCATGGCGGGGAGTCTGACTGTAGGAGTTTCTCACACTTCCTTGGGTTTGGTATTGCAATGGTGGCATTGAGTTTGAATGCTGGGGCAAACTAAATCTTGGATCTTCTTTGGCAGAAATCTGCGACATGCGAGAAGAACACGCTGAAGATCATGCAGATACCAATGCGCAGGGGAAGGTGCATCTACAGTTTGACAAAGCACTGAGCTGCTTAATACTTAAAGCATAATAAAGAACGCGCCAACGCCGCGTTCGCGCGCAGAACGCTCGCCACGCACAGGCGAAAGAGCTAAACGAAACCTTGATAACCACGGAAGTACTGCGGAACTCAGCATTGTCTGCGCGTCTGCAAAGCGGGATTAAACCATGGACGTCATCATGGTTGGGCCATGGATGCGCTGTTCTCAGAATGGACGCCATCATTGTTGGGACATGGATGCTCTTTTTAGACAACGCACAGAAACATCGCTGGCGCCGAGGATTTCAATATGTCCTGGTAGTGGAATTGCAGGAACTGCTGCGTATGCCACTGTTTTTGCGGAGGAAGAAGGATCGCATCTTGCGCACGAACGTGGCTTTGGTGGGAATAACCTCGATGAGTACAAGTCCTGAACCTCGGCCAAGATGCTGTGCAAAGTTTTGTTCATCGGTCGTCTCGCGTCTCGACAGCATCCAAGCGCCTAGCACAAACAGTACAAGCAAGGCCTTCACGCTAAGTTGCCGCCCGGTGATTACATCTGCACTCGCACGGACAAAACCGGATGAGACGTGCCTCGTAGAACTCCAGGGCGACTTGTGTACTCAGCCTAACAACAACGTACATCACGAAGTAGATTTCGCCGTCAGGAGACGCTTGAGGGCCCGAGCACATTCAAATTCAGGTGCTCTATGAGCAGAAGCCCTGTTGCGTCGCCCTGCAAAGCAAACTGGAGAAACGAAGACACCACAGGCAGCCGACACAGCCTGAGCGACTGCGACCGTGTCTGCGCCCGTTCGCGAGGCTGCCATGAGTGTGGGCCCCTGCCTGAAGCTGCAAACACGATCCAACACGAACGTCCACTGGGCTGCGCTTGGTGGCCTCCTTCGCCACCAGCGCTGTGCTGCCACTGCTGTGCCGATGCTGAGAAATCGTGGCAGGGCACCTTGCGGAACGAAGCCGTTGCGCGGTGCCGTCAAGCTGATAAAAACACCCTTGAATGAACTGCACGTTGTCAGAGCTCAGAGAGAACACCTAGACTGGGACCCAAAAGTCAAGAAATGGGGTGTTCATGCCAGGAAACGGACGAGGCCAAGCCAAACAAGCGAGTCAAAAGGCAACTTGACCCCGCATCCACACAGCAGTCATAAACCCAAAACCTTACAGCACACCTTGAACACCAGCTGCCAACGACAGATGCTAAACCACATCTCAACGAGCAGTCGTTTTGTCTTAAAACACCCAATGTGCTAGATTCTCGATCCGAAATGGAGCCAAGGCTCGCAGGGGAAGTGCGCAGCCTCTGGAACCAGACGGTGCTGCTTGCGGCTCGGTACCCCAGCGCGCTGGGCAGCGTGCTGCGTGCCCAGTACAGCCGGTCACCGCATGTGACGGGAAAAGGAGCATTCCAAACTGCTAGACTTCGAAGCACTTTATGCTGGAGAGAAGCTGATCTCCCTCCTTCCATCTAGTCGTAAGTCGTACTGTGCTATTGCGCTGCTTGTTGCATTCACTGCCATCCAGCCCAACAGCAACAGCTTCAGGAAATCGAAGACCGCATCAATCTCTCTGCGCAGTGGCTGGATGACACCTGGATTGCGCATGCCCGCCTCCGGGCAGTTGGCGTCACCACAGCCCGCAGCCGCAGCAGCTGGAAATTCGGACACAGTTTGCGGCTGGGAAGAGTGCAACCAGGCTCTTGGATGCTTGTGGCCATCTATGTAGCTGCTGTTGCTAGTCAGCACGACACAGGCAACCCAACGCCTGTACCAGCACATGCATGCACATGTCATACGCAGCTTTTCGGACGCCCCACCTGTCAGCCGAGCATCTCGCTGGATCATTGCAATCCCTTCGGGCTCGTCATCAATCAGGGCCATGATGTCAATCTAAGTGGGTTCTACCAACATGAGGAGTGCTCCACTATCCTCGAACTGCATTAGGATGCTTTGAGATTCTCACATCTTCATCGACGGGCTCCCACGAGTGCCCGGATCCTGCCACACACACCACCTGATTCTTGACAGGCAGCCATTCCGACAGCATGCAAGAAAGGCGAGCGGCCCTTGCTGAGATTGCTGCCACAAGCTGCACAATTGCCAGCACCAGCAAGCGCGCCATGCTCTCACGCCTGCACATCCGACGTAGAATGGAGCAGCACCCAGCACTTATAGCAAATCTGCTACACCCATCATTCAACCACGAGAGTGCCTGTGGGATTTCTTAAGAAATGCACGGAGGCATAGGAAATCCAAAAGCCCAGCTGCAGTATGTCAATCCAGACGTTTCGATCCAGAAAATGTATGGACTAGTGGAAGAACCATGGTTTGTCGGAGTGGAGCATATGAAATTCAACACTTGTGCAGAGCCGTTTCCCCGTAAGCACGGAGTTTTCGTTATCAGAGCGGCTCCATTTGGAGGACTGCTGGATGCCATTGGGGACACAGCTTGTCATGAGCATGATACCAAGCGGTGCTGGATCATGTGTAGATTAGGCACGGAAGGATTCATGTCTGTGAAGCTCTGTCCCTTTCGGCGGTTCACGTACAGGAAGGCACATTCGGGCCGTTCCAGGCCGGCTCTTTTGCATTAGCAGTTTGCCACCGGTTGTTGGCTCAGGGATACTTGAAATTCGTGCAAAATGGTGAGGAAGAGCCGGACTAGAGGCAAGCTGCGGACTTGTCCCACAGCGTTGCTCTGTGTCTGCAACTACAATAATCGCATGTAATCGCCAATTACTTGGGCTTGCTTGTCTGTGGAAGCTGTGCAGATGCACACACGACGACGAGTGGGCTACGGTGCGGACAAGCACAGCCCAAACAGAATGGTCCTGTCACTGTCACAATGCTGATGATGACAGAGAGAAGGCTCTTGAACCCGTAACTCCATGCTTTGAGCTGGCCTACACTTTGTATGTACTTTCAGTCAGCTAGGATCTACGCTACACATATTTATCCGGCGCTCATGGCACAGGATGCAAGCCGATTCGCCATCGACCTGTCTCCTGGGCCCAGGGGCAGTCGTCATCTAGCCGTTTGATATCGTTTGATGCTGCATGCCATCTGCATGCCCATGCTACGAGACGCTGCACTAATGCTAGTGCGCCATGCACCCTCAAGCCAATCTTTCATCCTGGCTACATACAAGAGTCTTGCGCCCAGTCTCGGTTGGAGGACTTGACAGCTGTCCCGTCCGCCAGAATATTGTGGCCAACTCACCGTGCCTGAATACCCGAAACTAAATTTCTGGAACTTGAATTTCAAAAACCGACTGAAACTGCTTGGAAGCAAGCATTGACTGACAACCAGGAAGAACACTCTGCGGCCGCTTCATCGTAGACTGTTGACGTCAAGTCGTGCAAGATCGTGTAACGTGCCAGGCAAACCCGGCAGCACCCACAGCAGCAAGAACAGCAGCAGTTGCACTGGTGTTGCTTACCTGACGAGGTACGCCAGTGAGATCGAGGGCGCCGAGTCGGAATCTCCAGCACAAAATTGCATGGATACTGCCTTAGGCGAGAGTTTCGAGTACTAAGCCTGCTCTCTCCACTCCGCAGCGCTTCCGTCTTGGCTACCAAATTTCGGCGGCACTGTGTTGATAAGAGCTGGTTACTGTACTCTGCTTGAGTAGCTAGGGCTGTCGGGGAGTCTGTGATAGCCACTGGCTGAATCTGAGGAGGCTGTTGCAATACATTGCCGAAATAAGCCCCGACTGCAGACTCATAGGACCAGGTGGCAGGGGCAGCGATCTCTAGTTCGGCCTGCTTCAAGGACTTGTGACACTGCGGGCAACTTGTTGTGCGTACTATGCATGCTGTATCTGCTGACAGTTGCGCGGTGCAGACCTCACCTCCAGGCAGGGGTCACCCTCTGCCGTAGTTCCAGCCAGGTCAACTTCCTTCACAAGAGCTTTCACTGCACAGCTCGCGTGTAGCACTCACCCATTCAAGACAACAGCAATGCCTTCAGCACGCTCTCACTTGGGCTTGCTCAAGAAGGGCGTCAATTCATGGTGACAGATGTGACAGTCCTCGACGATTAATGCGACAGGGCCGAACACCACCAGGTGTGCTGCGCGATGACTGGCGTAATTCAAAGCCTTAGACACTCTTTATCTCAAAGCTGCAACTTTGCATGTGCCACATGTGCCACGCTGTGCTGTCACCTGCCAGAATAACATGGCCAGGAAGCCTGGAGTGTGCGAGGCAGATCCTGAGACAGGCACGACGTGTTTACGGGCACACGGGTGGACGGACCGAGTCAGCGAAAGAAGCACACCGAAAAGGATCCAGCGAAGCAAATGTGAGTAACAACCTGCGCCGGTACTCCCGAGACGCTACTAGTACCGTTGCTTTTGACCGCGAGGCTCGTAGTGGATCCGTAGATCCGCATTCTTCGTGGCACCGTCTACTGCATCCTGAAGGACACATTCCTGATTCGACCAAGCATCGCTGCTGTAGACTTGGAGAACGCCGTCCACCTGAATCAGGGCAAGTCTCAGGGCAAGCCGAAGCTACGACCTCAGAGAGCCCGGCGAGATTTCGGCCTTTGTATATCTGCAACAGCAAAACGTCACCCAGTCATTCTATGAAGTACTGCGAAGAATCCATAGCCGCGAAATGCAGTCCCTGCCTACACCTAAAGACCTGAAGTTGCAAAGACCCTCAATTCGCTTGCTAGCAGCTCTACAAAGGACACTTGCAGTTGCTTTGTTGCGCGCCTGGTCCAACTCCCCGATCTGTGCGGTTGGAATCATTTGGAGGCCTGCCTGGTTCAGTATACCAAGGAGATCCACCTGCCCAGAACTGGGTCCAACCGGGTTTGTCCACAAAGCAAGAAGCTGCAACAAACTGTCTCAGCGTTTCAGAACAGGAGTCTGCCACCATCCAGGTGTCGCTGCTCAGCGGCCTTCGGTGTCTCTATGACCGGCGTGCCCGCAACCTTGAGGAACAAGACGTCGCTGACAGGTCCTCCATGCAACTGCTACTACGGAACAATAGGAAATAGCACTGTTGCGTCAGTCACGGCTAAATCCAGTGGCAGCAGGAGCGCAGCCAGCATGAAGTACAGTAGCAGTAAACCAGCAGCATCAACAGGACTGGAGTCGGTGCAGGGATAATGGCAGTCCTTCACCGAAAGCATTCACAGCAGTCACTTGGTAACCATAGTCGCGACCAGGCACCAAGCCTGCATCATCGAACTGCCTCAGCTTTTGCTGTCTTGTGGAGAGCGAAGTTAAGCCACAATCATGGGGCACAGCTGGCCAGGCCGAGGTGCGTAACAGCTGTGCTGCCAATCAGCTCGAACAAGGCCTTGTCGTTGACTTTGACTAACGCATGCATCTTCAGCACTCTAACTCTTGCTGGGCTTGTCTTGCAGAAATGCCCACAACTTCAATGCCGAAGCAGCAACCGTAGCGACTGGCTAGAGTCACGAAGCCGTGTTAAGCATTTCTCATCGGCCCAAACTTCCGCAGGTCTCTACAGTTAAATCCCTATGTCGAAGCTTCCTCTTCCAGCAGCTATGCAAAGGCGAATGCAGAAAGGAGCCTGCCGCAACCCACGGTCGCGATAAATATTGTAGAAGGCCTAGCAGGACAGCACATGCTTCTCTTAGCACTTCTTCCTGGAGTCTGTAAACGGTACTGTTCCCATGGCTGACTGCGAGCAAAACAAGACCGCACCGTCTCAGCACCAGCTGCATCTTGTGGAGCATTCCATGCCAGTCTCCTTGGCTGTCTGCAAATCCGCAACCGCAAAGGTCCACAGAGTCTACAGAAATTCAATGTGTTTCCGAAGATCGCTTCCTCACCTGACATTGCAACTGAGTGCATCTAACGAGTGAGTTTGCCGCAAGAGCTTCAATGATGCAGTCTCTCTGTCGGCCGAGACTGATGAAGAGACCTCGTCCGGGTGCGCTTCGTGCTGTAGCAGGAAGTGACAAAGCTACATGTGGCGCCTAATTCGCAAACCCTGAGATGACATATTATGCCGAGACTGAGCGCGCCTCACGCAGGTCCGAGATGATACCCGGACGAAGGAAGCAGCCTGTCTGCAGCGGCTCGCTCAAAGGTGACCTCCGGCTCTTGCCAATGGCTTCACGCGTATTTAACACATCCCGACCGCACTTCTACTGCCACGCTGTCGAGGCATTTCCCTTGATTACATCTCTGCCATCAAGCCGCCAGCCACCCAAATTGCGCCCCGACAAGGTCACCTCATAGCTCAAGCCTGACAGACAAAATGGCGTGAAGTGCGAGGGTGTTTAACTACACCCTCCGAGCTGCTACCTTAAGATGCTGCAAGAAGTTCTCTGCTTAGCAGAATCATGCGGAATCAATAGCGCGCACTCAGAAGACAACACGCAGCGGTTCGTACACCCTCTCAACAACTTTGTTTCAAGCAGTGGCTGTCCAGAGGCCTGGTGTACACGCCAAGTCTGCCACACGCACCTCGATGATGCCAAGCTGATACAGCATGTTGAACACGCTGCATCCGGACATGGAGAACCTGCACGTAGCCATCTCGTGCGGCCATGGTGCCCAGCGAGGTGGCGATCCCGCACGGGTTTGCTCCAGGCTGCTTCGATAACCGTAGTCGTCGTATACCTGTGCACATCGTACTGCAATTTGCCATGTGCTCTTGTTGATTTGCTTCGGGAATGCCACTAGTAAAGTAGTACATCTTGGAGAGATGCCATAGATCTGGAGTGCCACAACAGCAACCCTGCACGACACTTGCGGTAATGCGCCTGAGTGCCATTCAGGAATACCTCAGCCAGCTGGCGGCTACTTTTGTGACGAATCACATGTGCGACGAGCTGCAGCCAGGGCAAGACAAGCTCTTGGCCGAGCCACGCGATACCGGTCTATGGCGCCTCCCTCGTCTGTTTCCTTTTGGAGCCACTGCACCCGGATATGGCCGAGGCTGCCGAAGGTGGTGAAAGCATGTCCTCGGTGAGCATCATTTGGGCAAGTGTCGCGCTTCAGCAAGCTAATGTTTGCTGTTCATAATGTAGAGACATGTAGAGACTCAGTCTGCTGTGAGCAGCCTCATACCGAATTAGTCAGGCTTGCCAAGCTTCAGATGCCGATCTAAACGACCCTGTTTCCCTATTCTATGATGATTCTTGTGCATGCCCGTGCCTTGGCACGCACAATTCGAGACGACTTCGCGCGCAAAAAAACAAAATCAACAAACATGTTAGAAACACGTTGAAGTCACCAAATGCCACGCCTGCCAGGACTTTCCAAGATATCACAAAAACTTCAAATCAAGAAACAGCTTTAACTATTGAAACCGCGTCCGCGAGTCTGACTCAAAACTTCCACTCGTGTGCCTGCTGCGTGCACTTCAAATCATGAAAACATGGCAAATTCCTCAAGTTTTTGAGGGTTCACTGCACATACGTGACCTCATCACGTGCTCAAGGGCCTCCGCGTCCTGGTTTTAACGAGGCAAGATGCTCCTCCAAAATTCAGCCCTTTTGCAATCCGTTGATTTCTTGTTGTTTTACCGTCGTCGAACGCGCAAATTCCTCGAGTTTTTGACACTTCCTCATGGAGTTCAGTCTATGAACAGACCACACAACATTCAGTATGTTGGCATCTTCATAGCTTCAAAACACTCTTGTTGGCAGCTGTTCCGAGGCCAAAACTCGAGCTTTAACGCGTTTACGTGCAGAACCGTGTGATTTTCACACGCAGGCAAATCAATATACATATTGTGCTTTCTCGGTATTTACAATGCAAAACGCTTCTCCGTCCTGCCGCGCGCGCGTGCGCGCGTGAACAGGTCTTCGGAGCGTTACAGCTAGGATATCACACTCAGGATCCATGAGGTTGGGTTGGTATCCGCCAGCCACCAAGCATAGTCCCAGCCCCAGCCGACCTACAGCTACAGCCTATCTGTTTGCACATTCGAGGCAAGGAGCCAGAGGAAAGCGTGCCATCCAATGCGCCCCCGCTGATGTACCTTTGGGTTTTTTGCTTCGATTCAGTCTGAGACGGAAGGATTCTGAGCTGCGAAAGTACTACACCGAGCTCGGCTCCAACCTGATGCGGGAAGTGGATGCCAAGATGCATGAAGAAGAGGTATTCCGTGTCCATGTTCAAACCGCACTCAGTGAGTGTCAATGTCTCCAGACCACCACCTTTCAAAGGCACGAGGACAAATGTGCTACTTGGCTATAGTTCTGACCCTGCCTGCCAGTGTGCGTGCGTCATCGTGCGTGTCTGTGTGGGTGATCTCGCATGCTTTGTACACGCAGTGCGACTCAATGAAAATCTGTCCGCTTGTAACGACCGCAGTCTCCATCGGCCGAATAAGTTCCATTAAGTTCCGAGCCAACGGTATACAGAACGGTTCTGCTTTGCGCACCTTGTTGAGTTGATCTAGTGGAATCCAAAGGAAATCTAAACAATACAGTGACATCTAAAACAGCCTAATTAGCAGGCATTCTTCAGCGCTTCCCGTGCCTGTCAGGAAACCGGCAGAGTTCTTGCAGCAGTTGGGGCCGCCTTTGCTGAGTTGAAGCGCGGGCACTGCGACTCTGTGCTTTTCCGGTAATTGTGAAGCCCAATAAACCAGCAAGGCTATCACCAAGGCCGTTTCCCTTTGTTTCATCCAGGCCGCCAAGACTTGCCTCCCCACTCATCACAGCAGCTCCTGTAAGATACCTGCGAAGATCTAGCAAGCTGAAAAGCGCGCACACGAAACAACTTTCCCACCGGCCCGTTACAGACCTGTCGTTGTGTTTGGCTTTAGAGCCGACAGGCAGCCACTGCCGAGTCGCTTCGCATCTTGGGGAGCGATGATTGCACACCAGCCAAAGCCTGCATCAGTACATCGCAGCACAACACAGCAGGATGAGGATCGTGGCCAGCTGCCTCTCTTGCCCTTGAGGCCGAGGGAGAACACATCGAGTGCCATGCTCTAGAGGTCAACGCGCTACTCACACCGCTTTACCACCGCCAAGTTCAAGCTCGGCGATCTGGCAGCGTCACTTTGGGCCTGCAGCCCAGGTCTGAAACTGGACTGTGAACGTCTCGGCCATTGCGGTGCCAACGACAGATGGAGAGGTAGTGAAGTAGTTGCCTTGGATCAATGAAGTGCTCTCTGCCGAACTTAACTGAAAGGCTGCATCCTGCTTGCAAAGCAGCTTTCAAGATAGCATGATGAACTCCAGAGTAACGGATGCCGTGTCAGCGAGGAGGGACGGGTGCCGTGACAAATGGCACCGCTTTGGCTAAGGCTTCGGGACTTATGACACTGCGCACACATGTCTTGAAGTCCTAAACTAAACAATCGGTGTTGACGGTACAGGGCACAAATGCTGAGAGCTGAATGACTTGGAGCAGAATGCTGTTACGGTATATCCTGCCAGGTGAATTCAAGGTGCTGGCATTGTAATACTTGTCCAGCTTCAAGCCTATGATCTCTCCATCGTCGTTCCCTCCTGCATCTTCGGCATAGATCGCAATCCTCAGCACAGTCAAGGACCAGCGTTGTTCCAATGGTGGATCGCAGCATGTTTTGCGCCACAGCAGAATCTCTGTCCGATGACAAAGAGAGCTTTACGAAATCATGTTTCCTGAATCAGGATAAGATTCATGTAGTCTGTGCCAGATGTGAATGTGCAGTTGCTGAAGTTCAGCCACACAGGTACTGGCAGGCCCTGAGCGTCCCATTCAGCGGTCACGTCCAGCTCAAAGATGCTGCAATTCCTCAGTTGTCCCGCATGTACGGAGGTAGCGATGCAACATCACTGTCACGAGTGATGGTTGCGGTCCAAAACGAAAGTGCAACGCGATCAGTTCTCGGCTCAAGCACGGTGCCTAATCCGGTGCCGGTGTGTCCGAGCCACTCATTTTGATAAGAGGGCCCGTTGTCCGGATAATTCTGCCACCTTTGCACATGCAGACAAACTGCGGTAACTCGCGACTCAGCCAGTAGAGTGTCAAAGCGCTGGTCTCATCGGTTAGGGTGGCTTTGTCAAACACTCTATGGAACCGCTCGACATTAGGGCAGCCTGCTTTCTCCAGCAACAAAATGCGATCTCAAATGCGAGTACATTGTCTAAGGATCAACGTCGTCCAACCTCACAAGGGAGGCCTTGCGGTGGGGTTGTTGGATTTATCCTGCGTCACACTTGCAGCTAATGGTACTCCTCGTCACTCATGTTTCAGAATCGGCCGCAGCCTTCCGAGTCTGCGGTTCCCTGCTAGAGAGTACACGGCATGGATCAAATGCTGTCAGTGTCGAACAACTCGCATTCACGGCTGAGGTGCTGCTTCAATACAGTGAGCGACATAGCTCCAGAATAGCGCTCGATACTGGGGTACAAGTCGGAAAATACCTCAGCAAAGACTCGCTCGGGTGTCTGAGCATTACCTGTGCGAGCAATGCATCCATGAAGCGATTCGACTCCAGAGGCGGCCAGAGTTGTTCACACGCACATCCACGGAGATTTTGCCTGAAAGAAGGAGCAATGCCGCAATCGACGGTCAACTTCAGTAAGCTGTGCCGTCAAAGGGCCGTCTGTCTCGAACGCCACTATGCGTGGGAAGGGTGGCAGGAACGTGTTCGAGATGCCCACAACCTGAATCAGTCACAGAGGGTTTTAGCCCAAGTGAGCCAATCGCTCATCCTGCTTCGCATTCCCAAGCATGCGGCCGTCACTGCTGCGGAGAGGTCTCCAACTTGGCCGCTGTTGTCCTCCACCTGAGAAGTGTGATGCCCCTGTTTGGCCTAGGGTCGGAGGCATTGAGTGATCAGTGGTAATCCAGAGTCCTAGGGTTAAGCAATCCCTCACAATGATGCGTGTCTCCTGGTCTAAAAAGCACTGTTCCAACTCCCTTCAAGGACGTCTCCCACGGCCTGAATAGCTGAATGCACAGCTTCTCAATAAAGGCAGGTTTGAGTCTGGAGGGTGCTGGGATGTGCTGGGCTTAGGACTGGAGCTGTCCCTAAGGGAATGCCGCACTAGGACTCGCGCCTCCCTATTTTCAGCGTGCAAGGTGTGCAGAAGTAAATCTGGATGTGCCCACTTTGGGAGGTCATCAAGGGCTCAAGCAATCCAACAGACAAGAAGTGCAACCTGTCGCTAACTCAAAATTTCACACTGTCAATGCACCGTTCCCTAAAGCTAAACTGTACTCGTCTCCATTCTAATGCAAGCTTCACGCATTCCTTCTAGCCTTTCCGAGCAAAACCTCGCACGGCAGTCGCCGTGACGGTCGTCAGTAGCAGCAACAAGGAAATTCAGTCTTCACACTACCTCCGCTTATCGATGCTGTGCATCACAGACGGCCTAAGTCTTGCCAGTAACCACGCTGCTGCTTTGCGTTCAAGCGACGTAAATAAATGCGGAATAGAAGGTGATGCCTGTCAGGCCCGTGAAGATAGTATATTCTAAAGGCGCAGCATACGCTCCACTTGCATCGTTCAGTCTAGTCATTCCAGTCCTGGTCCCGACATCACGAGATCGCAGTCTGTCAAGTGAACTTCCGTGGCCCCGGAGCCCATCTCCACCTCAGCATGGAAGAAGCATCGTTTCGGGAGCCAATCAACAGTCTCTCGTCGTAGATTTATGGAGTACAGTAGTCTGCCGAAGGTGCTGCTTTCCGTGCCTGGGCTTGTGTAGTCGTTCCCTGATGACTTACAAGCTGGGCACTGACATGACATGTAACGCTGTGCGGGAGAGCTTCAAGACTCTGCTACGATGGTGACCGGACAAAGCAACATATTTGCATGCATGCTGCGTCATTCTTGCGACAGCCTGCTCGCCCGACAGTGTCTGGATTCAGATCCATAAACTTCGCAGTTTCCAGCGTAAATACGTTAGTCCTGGCAATCCGCAGCGTGTTTCAAGGTCAGCATGTCAAGGCGATAACCTTCATACATCGCGCCTGTCTGTAGGCAAGATGAAGGCCCAGTACCGGCCCGGAATCGCGGCTGAGAAAGTCAAGTGCACATCGCTGGGCGTCGGATTGGCGGATATCACCTCAACGCAATCAGCAGTGCAAGTGCTTCTGCAACCCACCCGTTCACTCGATGTGTGTGTGTGTGTGACAACCCTGTATCCAAGGGCCTTCTCCTCACGCTCTGCAGCCATTTCCTACTTACGATTTACATATAACTGAACTTGAGTGCAGAGTACACAGCAGGGGCACACGGCATCCACAACCCACCGTGTGCAACGAAGCTACGGTTGTGGATGGGAAGGGGGACTTGGCCAGTCCCCTGTACCTGCAACGCTTGTGACATCCTGGTCTTCGCTGTATATGGTTCATCGTCGTACTGGATACATACTACATTCTTTCGGCGTGGATGGCCTGGGGCTAAGCCAAGAACCCCATCCGAACACTTGTGGCTGCGCAACAGTGCTTGTGAGTCAGCGCTTGAGCTTGCATCTGCAGTTCACAGTTCTGGTCTTGTCCTTGCTCCTCAGTGTCTGCAGCAGGTTCAGGCCGTGTTGGGGTTTAGTCAGGTCGCAGGTCTAGGTGGCACACTTTGAGCCGTTCAGCTTCGACCTTACTGCACATGAAGATACGTGTTCAAAGTTGCTGGTGCATGGTCGCCCAAGACCTGGGCATCAGGTGGTCCTTCGCATACAGAAACCTCTCTTAGCATTCAGTGTGTAGTCCTCCGGGACGGTGGTGTATGCCTCGGTGCTGCACTCAGATCCTCCAAGTTCGGAGGCGCCAAATTCAGTGTCAGCGCTTAGATCAGTTCAATGAGGAGAGCAGTGAAGCCACACGGCCTAACCGCCTCTCATGGCACCCACAAATTCGGCTCCATGCCTACCAAAACGCGATTGCAGCTAAAGCGGCTTCAAGCACTCATACCCAAGGACTCAGGCAGGAAGAGTTTTGACCGTAACGTTCTAGTGGCTTTTCCCTGTAGTAGTTGTTGTTGTAGGCTGTGCATTGCTTGTCTGCATTCGCCATGCCTCCTCGTCCCCGTCCATCCTGTGCACCTGGACTCTGGACGACTGCACCCTCTCGATCACGATCTCGGCGACGCCCGAGGTCTGCGTCCTCATCGTCTTCCTCTTCCTCTTCGTCCTCAACGCCGGCGGCACCTACGACCCGGACTGCGGCACCTCAACGTTCTACTTTGACTGGCCGAATCGCTGCCCCTTTACAGCCTCCACGACCTATTGATATGACAGCTCCAAGCACTCTCCCTGATCTTTCTCCTCTTCCTCCGAGCCCGTTTTGGCCTGGTTTACTTCCCACTGGCTCAACCCCGTCTTCCTCCAACAACGACCAGTCAGTGCCTGCTGATGCCTATGTCCCTACCTCACCGCCGGACCCGTCTACCACCCCTACGGCATCCTTGACGTCGCCACCTACAGCATCTTCGACCTCAGCAGCTCCCTTCAGCTCCGCTTGCACGTTGGCAACCTTACGCCAGTGTTTGGCCACGGCAGGCCAACTTGATACCTACCTGCAATCCGATTACTCCACACGGCTGGGCTCCCTCAAGGCGGTGCACTGGGATCGAGTATATACTGCATTGCTGCAATACAGGTCCTACTTCAAAGCGCTCCCTCATCGTCGACAATGTCAACGGGAGTTACTCTTGGAGGGACGCCAAGTTGATGTGCCTTTCACTCTAGCCGATCCGATACTTACAGTGATGCATCTGTTGGTACATGCTGGATACCATCCTCACAGTGTTCAGTTCAAGTTTACACACGTCGAGGCTCCCCAACATCAACCAGACCAAGCAGGCAGACCGATGCTGATGGTTTCGCTTCCCTTCCCGGCAGCAGCACAGCGTGTTAGCGGGGCACCTGCCGTCGCGTATTTCGGTCACAACACGGACCTTCAGGCGGCTTTTGGCATCCTTAAAGAAGGCTGCATCCGCCCCAGCAACTTCGACCCCCTTGACGCTTCTTGGCTGCCGAGTCCTGCCTTTTACTCTCGCGCTTCCGTCCACAGTCTCAGCGGAGCCTTACGGGCAGCAGCCAAGTTCGGAGGATGGGGTTCTCCCCGTCCGATTTGTGTATATGGCCGAATCCCCATTTGCTATCTCGACATAGCCAATGCCGCGCCTACCGACACACCGTCTTCAGTGCTCCCCAACACTCCCGCGGCCTATCACCTGAAGAGCGACAGTGGGGGCACCGTCCCCGAAAACGCGGCGAACTACTTCGTCTCCATCCTACACGGCAACGACAACCGTTGGGGCGTGCACTCCACGCTTGCACAACCAGAAGGCATTGCCGTGTTCATGTGAGAGGACCCACAAAATGTGTGCGTGACTTGCGGTGTGGCATGGCTGGTCTCTTTGTTGTTGCAGCCTTATTCCTCTTCATCCCGCAGCCGTTTTGCTGAAACCTTCCTAGCACATCATGGCCTCCTCCGCCTTCACTTCTGAATATTTGCAGTTGTTCTTGGTGTTTTTCGAGTCGTTGTCCGACCACCAACTGCTCCAAGTACGTGACGTATTGCTACGAGCCCATCAGAATCGACCGACGTTGACTCCTGTGACACCGGTGGCTACGACATCTACTCCACCGCCTCCCGATGCTCCCCCACCTGCCACAGCGCCGCTCACCTCCAGTGACCCAGGCCCTTATTCTGGTCAAGCCGCCTACGACTCTCCTGGACCTCAAGTACTTCCAGACGGCAGTGTGGCCCCTCCGGCCCCCATGGGACCACCACCGATTCCTCCTCATGTGGATCCCTCCCAGCGCCAGACCCTGCCACGACTTCGGAGACGAGATCGCGGCCGCCCTCGAGATGAAGAACGTTCTCGCGCTGAAGACCGCGATCGTGATCGTCATCGCCGTCGACGTCGTTCGGTATCCCCACTTCCTCCTGACCCGCTACCTGCTGGACCTTCTTCTCCTCCGATGCCATCAACCCCGGGACATTCTGATGCCATCCCGATCGGCCACACAGTTCCACCTCCGGCTGTCTCCAAGCACACTGGACGACCTCTTGCACCTAAGGTCGATGCTGATGGCACTTTGACTTATGTACCGGTCAAAGCGCGACCACAACTTCCTCCTCCACGGACCACAACGGCGACAACCGGCCGATCCCGCAGTCGGCGTCGCCGCCGCGACCGTGCTGACCGAGACCGTGATGATCGTGAGGATCCTGACCGCTCTCGAGGTGCACGTGATGTTCCCCATCGCGATCGAGACCGTGATCGACACCGACGGGATCTGAGCGGAGACCAACAGCGCCCACCCCTGACTCTCTACTCCGTCGCTCGGGCCTGAACAAAACATGTGCCCTCGCCGACTCTGCTCCTCCTTTTCTTGGATGTTCCGCAGCCATTTTCTACATCACTTCACAGTCCTGCCCTTCCCTGGTACCATACATGCCTTTCCGACGCTCTGCTCCTCTTTCGTCCTCTGCCTCCTCTTCCTGCCCGACCTTGTCGTCATCCACTTCGGCAACTGTCCTGGAGTACTTGGACGTATTGACTGATCCTTTCATTCTCTTCCGGGTGTTCTTACCACTCTTGGAACTTCGTCTACGCACAGCTCTCGTCCCTCCGGACTCGATGATGGACACTGCTTCTGCCCGTACACCCGCCCCGGACTCCACGTTAAGGTGCCTCTTTCCCATTGCTGAACTACATGGCCAGGCCCTTGCGTTCCGGACGGAACGCGACTATCACCTTCACTATGCCCTCGCCGAGATCACATTTCATCCCGGTGTCGTTGCTTCTTTGATGGTGACCTGCTCGCGAACATACTACGCCGTACGAGCCCTTCTTCGTGATCGTGGACTTCAATATGCCTTCTACGTGGAACGCACACCCGATCTTCCACGGTCACATTCTTCTCGACCGTGCCTGTCCATCTTCCATCCGTTTTGTCCACAACAAGTCCGCGGTATGGCGTTACACCGTGGAATTCAGCATTGGGTCTTCATTCCCTCCAGCTACCAGGAGTTGCCTCTGATCCGGCTCGGACGTTTCTCATGATGCGCGTTCAGGACCTGGACAAAGAGGACTATTTGCTACTGCAGCAGTTCTTAAGCGAGCTCACTTCCCGCAGCCGTTTTTACTTTGGCTCCTTTCGCCTGCTTCCTCACGCCTCCTCCCATTCTTCCTCCTCCTTATGCCTCCACACCGCTCTCGCACTCCACCTTCCCGACGACATCGTCTACATGGACGTGATGAACCTTCTCGACACGATCCTTATTCGTCCCAGCGGAACATTACGACGCAACCTCCCAGGTCGGGGTCCTTCCGGGACAATCGCGCACACAGCCGTACGTCTCCTCCTCGGTCCCGACGACATCGCAGCCGAACCCCGGTGTCCAACACGCCGGAACATCACCGCCACCGCCACCGTGGCACTTCGATCAGACAACATCGACAGCGAGATCCTGATGCTGATTCTCCCCCACGACGTCGGCTACACTATTCTTCACCACGGCCATCGTCTCGACGACATCCTCTTCCTTCCGACTCTGACCGACGGGCACCACATTCTGACAGCCGGGTGCACTCCGCTCCTCCACCTCATGATGATCCATCCCACTATTCGTCCTCCGGTGCACCTCCTGCTCGACGTGAACCTCGCCGTGATCGCCGCGATCATCCTTCCGCTCGAGACCACCGCCTACTTCAGGAACGCTACGAAGACATCTATCCGCTCGGCGCCAACTGGGAAACCACCGACCTCTTCCTTGACGCGAACCCAGACCGCGGTTTCCCTTTACCGCGCAATGTCGTAGACACTGCCTTTACCCGGCGTCTCGGCATCGCCGAAATGCCTATTCATCTCGTACCTGTTGTGTCGCTTACCCCGAATGCGGGGCAAGCATGGATCGTCCGCCTGCTGGCGGCTGGCCGCCCTCTCGTGATTGAAGTTTTCAGGACGCGACAGGAAGCGCTTTTGGCGTCATTCATTATTCGGACGCTCCGCAAGTCCTCGGACCAATACGACATCTCTGATGTCCTTAAACAACTACACGACAACCACACCGTTGCTACCGAAGGCCCACGCGACCTTACCGTATGGGCGTATCGCGCTCAGCTCTTGCAACACGTGGCGGACAAGGTTGCTGCGACGATTAATGATCTACTACCCCACGGAGAAGGTGCAGCCGGAGGACGACCTGGACTTCTTGAACAAAT